TTTACTTTTTTATAATTTAAAGAAGAAACCAATCCGATGTATAGTTGACATTTGAGGCTTAATACTATAGAAAAGCACTAAACGTTTTTCAGTTAGTGTTTTCAGCTTGTTTATTTTCATATAAAAATACGGAATGCAGTTGCATCAAACAATGGTATAAACATCATTCGATGTAAATTGTGATAATCGTAATTAATAATCGCAATTACAATTTCAAGGCAATAATCGACAATTATGATTTTTGTCATAATCGTGCAGCCCTAAAACATAGCTATTCATGAACTTATAATTACTATTTCCGACTCCACTTAAAGAATCCATAATGTACATATTTTTAACAAAAAGTACATTTGACCCCTTGTGCAGTCGGCAGAGAGCATTCAATCAAAGAGCGACTAGCTGGGAGCACAAATATAACTTTGACATTTCTGATATTAAGCCAGATAGAATGTTTGTTTCTGTTTTAAGTTATTTTAAGGACAAAGCTGAGGGACAAGTCCAAATGGTTTTCTATGGTGGACAGTTGGTTGAACTTGTAATGAAACCTGACAATTCCTTTAATTTAAGTGCTTTATTTAAATATCCATGACCACATTTACCAAATTTGATTGCAGATGGATAGGACACGTGTTTCTTGATAATCACAAACAAAAGTTTGAGTCACTGACATATTCTGCTGAATAGTGTATTTCTAGTTTCCAGCGAAGGCTTCTTGGGAATTTGGCATGAGCTCCAACGCTCTGACTTGTTCCCCGTTTATTTATCCAGATGTGTTGTTCTAAATGATGCTCTTTTTGTGTGTGTGCATGTGTTTTTGGGAAAGGACTGAATGTCTAAACTGCAGTTGTGGGTGCGATTCAGTCAGTGTTGTCTTTCTTTTTAGTTTACCGTAGCATGCCAGCTGGTTGTAATGATGGAATTAGACGTTGAAGTTGTGAATCAGCGGGGGATTGGTGGGTGATGAGGGAAATGTTTACCGGATGCAGACACTAGACTTTATCAAGCCCATTAAAGGCTTTCTTCCCACCAAGACAAAATGCTTCTTTCCCATCATCAAACTTAATCCAACTCGAAGATCTGTTTTACATTTGCAACCCTGTAACGGCTCATGATAATAAAGCCAAGCATAAATCAACTTTCTTGCTTATAAATTGTGAAAATCCTCTAGAGCTTGTAATGCAGATGAACCTATTTTGCCTGAAGCAAAATGAATACATCTGTTTATTGAACTAATTGAATTCGTAGTGATATGCTGTATACTCTGAACTGTATATTTTTGGTTTAAAAAAAAAAAGGCCAAATCAGATGGCTATAATTAGAAAATTCTGTCATCGTTTATTCGCCCTCGTGTTGTTCCAAACCCATAAGAAATGAATTCATCATCAGAACACAAATAAAGATAGATTGAATCAAATCTGAGAGATTTCAGTCCCTCCATTGAAAGTCTATTTACCCAAAACTCTGATGCTTCAAAACATTCGTAAAGAGATCAAAAATTAAATCCACATGAATTGAGCAGTTCAATCCATGAAGAGGCATGAACACTTTATATGCTGAACAGATTTAATTTAGGCTTTGATCATTGATCAGCAAACATAAACAGAAGAGCAACCATATTTGGTTGACACGCGAGAACAAACCTCATAGGTTTGTCACAGAAGCTCAATTAGTTCTCAAGGCCTGTTCACAGGTTCGGCACAAAAATTCAGTCCGATTTTTACCATACAATTTGTCTGTTTAGACCAAATGCTTAAAAAAACTGCAGACTGGCTTAACAAACATGCAGATTCTTCCCCTGACAGTAGGTGGCACTTAAAGAAGAGCAGAAATGCAGCATTTACTCCAAATACTACAGTACACAAAGCAGTGCAGCTCAACAGTATTTAGCTACATGTTTTCAAACAACTGTTTAGATATTTGTATTCACTATAGGGTTTATCAGATAACAGCAAATACAAGAGTACAGAGACAAAAAAGCCAGGTCTGGATTTTGTTGTTCATTGTTGCATAAAAAAAATACTCTGTTCGTAAGTTATAGTTTTATGTAACGGCAGTAGCTCTGGGCATGGGAAAGAGATCAGAACATGTTTCTGTAAAAAAATGAAAATGTCAATCTGAACAAACGAAATAACAGCCGATCATTCAAATTAAAGTGTTTATCGCATCGAATATTCATCTTTGTGTGAACAGGCATTCAGGGGTCAATTCCAAACCAAACAGCTTTATGTTGGTAAATGTGGTAAATGTACTTGTTAATAGTTCAACAAACTTGAATCAAATGAAGTTGTTCGCTCACATGAAATCCCTAATCACATGGATTCCTGTTCAGATGGCTTCATTTTGCCCACAGAATTTCGCCATATCTGCATAAATGTGACCGCAGCTGTAGGGATGTCAAAGGTTCTTCGGTGCCAAGTCAATAATAAAATAAGATGTAACTGTAGCAGTCTTTAATAGAGCTAGTATGTAGTACCGGCTCTCCTATCAACAACTTGTCCTGTGTCTGGCTTCTTTTGTATATTAAGCACATATTTCCAGTGAAACATCACCATTTTTGATACACTATCAAAGCTGTACAGATATTCACAACAATGGTATTTCTGCTTGTGTCATTAGTTTTTACCGTGGTGTCCAAATCGGTATTGAGAATTGAGACATTCCACTGGTATTTCTGAAATTATTTTGTACTGTAATCTCAATAACAGACCATCTTTTGTCACTGTAGTTAAATCTGTCTAACTGGGAGAGGTGCTGAGCTGTTATCATTCTGACTGTACGTGGAGTAAAGGACAGGATTTCCGTAGTTCTTCCATGTCCAGGATGTTTTCTTGGTGGATTCTCCGCAATCCACTGCCTGTTTTCCAGGGCGTAGTGTGAATTCCTCCCCTATGCGAACCCTGGTTTAGTGATGCATTTGAAGTTCCCTTACAGCTTCTCTAGACCTGCTCTTGGAAATTCATAGACCGCACAGCACCAGTCTGAGTATCAGCGCCAGCAGGCGCACTCATCACTACAGAGCTCTGGACGCCATTGTGCTTGACAGATATCAAAATCATGCAAATGTTTTATGTCACTCCAGAGGAGAACTCAGCAGAATGTGACTGCTACCAGATGTAAGCTCAACCAGTGACGAGTCTTTTTAACTGATTAAGTGCCTCCCTTGTTTTCCTGCTCGATAAAGGAATCCTACACACTTTAAGATGGCCAAAATGCATGCCAGCGTGGGCATAAACAAAACTCCCAGTCAGGCTGAAATGCAGTGAGATCTTAAAATGCGAGCTTTTCTGTGTCAATTAAATTCATGTGTTTACATTTGATGCCATCTTTCATTGTAGTATGTGCTCAGAAGGACATAAGCGAAAGCATATACAAGCACATCACGTGAAATGGACATCAGGAGTCAGAAACTTACAGAAGTTGGCATTTCCCAGCCACAGAAAGTGCATTAATGTTGCCAAAAAATAGAATCAAATGGAATTAATATTATCAGCAGAGATTAGTAATAGTGTTATTTCTTCAGTTTCAATCAAGTTAGGTATTTAACAGTGGAGTCTTGTTGAAAATAATTACCGGCTTATCAGTATTGCTTATTGAACAGTGTTGCTTTTTTGTATAATTAGGTGTTTTATATTATCTGAGGTCAGCCCTTTCCTGAGGCCGTGGGAATGATGAAGTCTTGTGCTCCGTCTCTCGGCTGTCTTGGCGCTTAGTTGAGTCGGTGTGTTGCAGTTCTGATCAAGTGACTCGAGTGATACAGACACTGTGAGGAGTGCATATGGTTTGTGTACAGCCTTCACACTCTTCCAGGTGGTAGAAAGCACTTTATAATGCAAAAAGTAACATGCTACTTTACATAAGTAATGATGTTACTTTATTGGTTGCATCAAGCAATACAGTAATGCAGTCCCTAAATCTGCAAATGAATAAGTAGAACTTACCTGTTCCATCAAACTCATGCTCATCATTCTTATATGAATGTCTTCTGCCAAGTCTGGGCTATTGCAGCCCTAAACATAGAATGTGACTTAAATGATATAGGCCTGAGTTTACACTGTTAAAGCATGAATAACATACCATAATTGTTAAGACTAACACTAAAAACTTGTGCCTTTGTGTGTTGTTGATTGTGGATGAAGCCCTGCTTGGTGCACTGTAAGTAACAAGAAGCTTTATACATATGAATTGTTTTAACAGTTAATTTTGGGAATGCAGTTAATGCATTCATTCACTAAAATAACTTAATCATTAATTGTATAAGCAAATGCATATGACATAAAAATTATCCATGGCAGAAATCCAGTTGCTTAATGATTATTTTTAGTGCACCTTCTAGTCCTAACACATTAAACCTTGTGTATGGTCTTAACTGGATTGTGTGACTGAGACCCACAGGTTAACGCACAGTCTCTTACTGGTTAATCTCTGGTTAATCTGTTTGGGTGGCCATGTGTGTAATCTGACTGTAAAGTGGCTATAAGGATTTAGCTGGCTGTGAAGACAGAACCTGAATGAAAAGTAAGGCACCGTAGTTTACTGCCACTTAAACTACTGTCATCCTAAAATTCTAAAGGTACGGTGGTGTGATATTATTTTGTTCATATCAGTACCTGGCCGAGACAACAATGTGCATTCAGCACATTTCAGCTGTTCAGCCAGTGAAATGTATTTTAAATCGATGTAAATGTCAGTCTTGAAATGCTTTTTTCTTGCCTGAACGTGTGCTTGAGTACAGCGGCACAGGCACAGCCTCAGGGACTATGTGTCTGACAGGTGCAGCGTGTTTTCCTGCAGAAAACAAGCTCTGAACTTTATACTCAACGGCTGTGTTGTCTCTGGTGTGCCAGGTTATAGTTTAGTCCATAGCTAAACACCCAGGCCTTAATTAAGGGTCTTTTTTTCCCCCCATTCCTGATAAAGAGCAGATCCTGCAAAACACCCTTCAGGTTTTTGTGGGTTGATTGTGACTCACATGTCATTAATGTTGTTGTATTTGATTCCAGGAGCTCTAACTGTGGGGCTGGTGCGCCAATGTCAGACCATTCACGGACGAGATCGAACCTGCATCCCCCCGCGACTTCCCCCGGAGTGGGTCACCACGCTCTTCTTTATCATCATGGGCATCATCTCCCTCACGGTCACCTGTGGCCTGCTGGTGGCCTCGCACTGGCGTCGAGAAGCCACGAAGTACGCAAGGTGGATCGCCTTCACAGGAAGTGAGTGACGCATCTCATGTTTGAATCCCCCCCCCCCCCCCCCCCCAGCTCC